ACAACAGCAAATTGAAGTTTGTCATTCAGAGATTCTTCAAAACAGAAATGCTAATTTGAAGAGATAATTTTTAGTTTTGTTTTAATCACATTTAAACAGAAGAAAAGGGTACATTTTAATATGACTTTTAAAATAATTTAATATTTCTCTTTGTATTAATAAATGAGAAATCAGTAGAGAAGCAAGCATATAGCCACTATGCAAATTATGTATTGAAGCTGTTTATTATGATTTCTTAAAATGTATAGATGCTGAAATGGAAATTTTTATTTTGTTTTTTATTAGATAGTAACTAAAATATTATTTTATATTAATTAAATATTTATTTCTACAAAAATATAAATAAAGTCATTTTATAAAGTGTTTTCAGGCAATGTGTAAAAATAAGAAAATAGTAAAATTTAACTTGATATTCTTTTAAGGCTATAAACTCACTGTGAGTTTATTACACTGATCTTGGGAATGCAGCTATATGTACAAGTTGACCTGAGAACCATAATAGCTGCTTAAGAGAAGTACCATGACTACTCAAAGGAATGGTAGTTGGTGAATACACAGCCTTTCCTTTGCCACAATGTTTTTTTTCTATTGTTCAATCAAGAAGAAATCAAAGAAACTAGATTAAAGATATAAGACCTTATAAGTGATAGACAAGAGATTTAGGTATGCCTTCTTTGATTTGGTGTAATTTGATAAAACAAACATATGAGGAACACTGAGGGTGTAAGTTCCTTGACTGTGTCAATGACTAGTCATTCTTCTTCTCTAATCCTCAGATTGTTGATATAATAAAATAATGGTGTTTGATTAGAATATTAGAATACATTTTCTCAAATCTCTTTAGTTTCCTCACAGTGGCCCCAAACAACAAAGTAATATAAAGCTAACAAAGTAATATAATACGGTGACAGTCACCATGAAAATTTCCAACAATCCCCAGATAGTTCCCATTTGATACCATATCATTGTTAAGGAGCTTCAGAAAAAATAAATACAAGAACAACAGAAAAAATCAGCTTACCTTTCTCTCTCCCCCAATATATAAAACTTCTGTAACTAATGTATCAATTGAAAGAAGTTCAATATTATAACAACATATAGATATTATATGAAAATTTTCACTTTGAAATGTATGCAAACATTTTTAATGAGTGCTATATATATTAAGACATGCATTTGGGAGAGGGCTGTTCTGGAGTAAGGAAGATTAAGTGTGCCTTAAAATAATGCAAATCTTGAAAACGAATATATTCCCTTTTGTAATTTCTACACTATTTAATTTTTAACTGGCAATGCAACACTTAACTGTGTTTGTAAAAAAGAAATATATATTCATGTCTAAACCACCAGTTTTATTTCATTTTATAAAAAATAACTGAATAATTTACTTATTAAAGAATTATCATTGGAGGGACATCCCTGGCAGTCCAGTGGTTAAGACTTTACCTTCCACTGCAGGGGGTCCGGGTTCGATCCCTGGTCAGGGAGCTAAGATCCCACATGCCTCAGGGCGAAAAAAAAACAAAACATAAAACAGAAGCAATATTGTAACAAATTAAATAAAGACTTTAAAAATGGTCCACATCAAAAAAATCTTAAGATAAAAAAGAATTATCATTTGGACCCAGGTTCAGCGCTAAAACACACAAACACAAAGTAATATGATGTTTTATAGAGGGCACTGGAACTCCGTTCTGTGACTTCACTATGTAAATCCCTCAACCTCTTTAGGCCTCACTTTTCTCATCTAAAATATGAGAGAAATGCTACTTCATAGTAAATGAAATATTGCACTTAAGGCATCCCATACAGTGTATATCACAGTACATGTTAAGAAATAGAAGCTGCTCTGTTTTCATATTATTATTATTTGTAAACTTCCAAAGCCATTTTTGTTTCATACTTTGGCTGTGGATGAACTGAGAACTTTAATGATCTTCTACAACTTTATTCTCATGGTGCTCAAACTGAATTATAGCAATATGTTAACCAAAGGAATTGGAGAAAATCACTTTAAGGATTTATGTCTGCTTTCATAAATTTTTGCTGGCAAACGAGACTACTCTCCAATTATTACATTATTTAAATGATTACACTAATGTGTTTTATTAAGATATCATCTGATTATTATGGTCTCCACTAGTAATAAAAGTTTCTAAGAAGAACTTAGAACTAGTTTACTACAAAAGTAACAGTATTTGGTATTTTTCCTAAATTATTTTTCCAGTATGAGCCGGCTGATGATTTATTATTTAAACCAAAAGAGAAATCACTCAATGATCATATGTTTATTACATCGAGATATTGAATCTGATCAAGTTAGAAATGAAAACACACAAGACAGAAAACGTTTATACCAGTAATAAAGAAAACACATATAACAAAGGTTTTCCTCAGTTTTCTTTATTACAACAATGAAGACACAGAAATACAGAAAATAAAATGACATTTAATATACTATGAAACGCATGCATAGGATTACACATAGTGCTGGATATTATGTCAGGGATTTTAAATAAGAGATGATACTGAGGACAATACATATATAACATACATTTTATTTCAAGAAAATAAGCTATGATGAAAACAAATGCAATTAAAATGATCAGCAATAGTCACTTTAAAACAGAAGTGTTACACATAAAATCAATGTAAGATGTGAGATAAAAATATTCTTGAAAGAAATTCATGAATTATGGATGTTCTTTAAAACAGTAATTTTTAATTGCTTGCTTTTAGGGAAAAAAAAGGATTTGCTGGAGATTTATTTTGTAGTCCCATTTAGTACATAGATAAAATAAAATAAATATGGTATAATTTAAAATTATGCTACCTCTGAATATTATGCAATATTTGCAATGTAACTATATTTCTATTACTTAAAATGGAGTGATAAATGAATTTAATTTGAACATACACAAATTAAGAAACTTTGCAATATATCTAGGTTTAATACAACCAACATTAGATTCGTTCACACAAAATTTAATTACACTTGAGTGAGCATATCTTTAAAAAGTAGGTCAAATAATAGTCTACTAACAAAGACATGAGGACATCTTTTGCAGTTCAAATCACCTCAGATATACTAAAAGAACTTTTGAAAATATGTGCTTTCCTTGGATATTTTGTTTTTCAATTTTGCTGAATAGTAGCTAAAAATTGATGTTATAGAAAAATACACTCTTTCTGTAATATTTAGGGACAAGTATTTCAGGCTTCCAATTAGTTAATAGCCATGAAGGAAGGGAGGATGACTATAAGAGATGTTTATCTGGTTCATAATCTTAGGTAAGATAAAGAAACTAAAGGTATTTGGAAAACAAAGAATTGATATTATGCTCCCATCTCTGCTTTATTTCAGAACAATTAAATTAGATTTATATTTACTGAATCCATTCCCTTACATAAATATTGAGATGCTGCTTACTTTTATAATCTTTATGTATTATAACAAGTTTTTAAGCACCATGTAGTAAAGAGAGATACTACCACTTTTAAACATTAAAAATGTTAACTCTAGAAAAATACTCTAGTTTAGATGGTGATTTGGAAAATAATATGTTAATTAGATATTAAATTTTTTTTCTTTAGTTAAGACCTAAAATTTATTCTGTTAATATTTTCTGAATTCTAAGATTATCTATCGAGTGTTGATAGTGATTAAATAATACTCCTTTTTAAAAATGACATAATCAGCCAATTTAGATATAGTTTTTACCAATTTCAATTTATATTGAAATTATTTCAGCGCTATTTGTAGGATATTCATATCACTAATCATTTGAAATATATAAATTTAAGCTACTCATTCAACACATTAGCCTTGTGGAAGGATTTGTGACATATATACATATCACAAATTCTGAAATTTAACAATTTAACAGAGATTAACAGAAAAAGAAGAAATGCATTGTATTTATTCATGACCAGAAATTGAGAGGGAGGAAGAGAAAGAGGGAGGATGGGGGAATGAGAGTGGGAGGGAGAGATATTAGGAAGAAACAATTGGAAGGAAGAATGAAAGGGTATAAAATCAAGTAAGAGAAAGCCTACTTAATTTGTACTTATTCAAAAGCGGTTTAAAGGATATTACATTGTGCCCCACAGATTTGAACCATAATAAAATACATAAAATGACACATTTAAGTATGAACTTCGTGATCCTGTATCTTTATTCATTGAGTGAAATCCTAATGCATAAGGGCTAAAAAATATATAAATGACAATATTTAATTTAGGTAGTGTCATAACAGCTTATTTATTTAAAGCTCTTAATGCTGCTAATATCATAAGCAAAAACAAATGGGTGGAGATTTTCAGATAATTTTACATGACTAGAAATATTTCTTAGTTAACTACTACTACTATAAACTGAAAATATTATATATAATATTAGCTATTTTTGAAAGCTAGGTCCAAACACACTTACCTATTGTATTGGTGATGTAAATATCCATCTTGAATTACTAAAATGATTTGTAATCTAAAATGATTTGTAATCTAAAAATTTTATTCCTTCATTCTTAGTGTAGGTGTACCATATGAATAAATAAAATACTTTTCATGTATCTGAAAGTACTCATCCAGATCCAAAAGTACCTTGCCTAATTCTCCCTTGCATATTCTATTTTGTTCAATATAAATGAATAACCATAAATCCAACTGTCCAGACTTGAAAACATTGTGGAATTTTCCTTATTTAAGTTTTAATTTAAGTTAAATATAATTAATGGGAATTCTTAAATAGAAAATGTTTGAGTTGTGTAATGATTTCCAAATTAACCCAAATTGTATAGCCTATGAACTACTATGCATAGTTGTAATTTTAATTATTAATTTTAAAAGAAATGCTGAATACTTAAAAAGTCAAAATTATCTGCAATAAAATTATTTGTGCAATTATATGTTTTATGTAATTGACATATATAATGTTAATCAAATGTCTAAGATTTATTTATTTATTTAAAATTGTTAAACAATTGAGATATTTTAGGCTAAGAAAAAAAAAGAAAAAAATTTTTTAAGAAAAATGAAGCAAGTCTTTAAGTGTTTCAACCTTGTTCTTGTCTACCAGTAATTGATGCACATATGTACACTTGCATAATAGTTTGGGAAAGAGTATGGGTATAGAGTTTATAAAATCTACTTATTCCCAATGAATAATAGCATTAGGACAGAAAAATAAAAATGACAATTTACTTAAAGTTCTTCCATGTAAGAAAAAATTTCATAGGAAAAAGATTTTACTACTACCTCCTAGTCTTAATCTGTTAGGATATCTAAAATGTGGTTTGATGGGCCTTATAGCTATATGATAAATAATTAGAGCTTGAATTGGAGTAGAGAGACATGTAAGGCTGAAGGATAAATGGAGAAAAGAAGATAGACTTCAAAAAATTGGGAGAAGAAAAAAGGAGATTTCAGGTTTACATAAAAAAATTAATCATGATACTTCACATGCAGATAATGGCGATTATGCATAAGCAAATCAACCTAACTTTACAACTGGTATAATATGGTCAAAACAAACTTTTAAAATGATTTTAACATTGGCTGATAAGATATACACATCAATAAACATAGGTACATATTTATGATTATACACAATGAATAACAAAACTCACCTTACACACAAATTCATATTTATACATTTCAGACACAGAATTTTATTTAAAAATCCACTGGATGAAAAAGAATTTTGGGGTGATACTAGGGAGAATTTTTATGTCTTGCTTATCAGTCACATTTACTTAAACCTACAGCAGACATTAATTAGACAAAAACGTGCTGTCAGTTAGACTTTATGGTTGCATATAACAAGAGTAAAGCTCAAGTAATAAAAGAGATAATTCAGCAACACTTACATATTATCAAGATATAAAAAAAATCCAAGAAGGTAATTTACAATCTCTAAGGTTTCATTTTATGAAATGCAATAGCTGAATTGTTTATAGTTTTGTGCTTTCCTATTTCTTATAGACGTAAGACAAAGCACAGAGTCGATTATTTTATGTCTGAGAATTTTTTAAACTTTATGCATATCTTAGAACTGTAAAATAACTGTTAATCTAAGAATAAACATTTAGCCAAAGGATAAATAGTTCATTAATTTTAGGATTAATATCTTGATCTTTACTTAGATGTTTAAAAAATCTAAATGAACCACTCATTAAGTGTAAATCATTCTGCTAAGATATGAGAATTTCAATTTTAGGTTCTTTTCTGAACTGTCCAAATGTCAGTCTAGGTATCATGCAAACCAGACTGAGTGTTCTTCTTATCACTGGTGACTTTGAGTTACAGAATATAAAATTTCAAATAAAAATCAACTTTGTTATCTTACTAAAGACATATTACATGTTCTTCAAAAAAGCATTTTGTAATCATGAACTAAATCAAGATAATTTCTATGACTTTCTCACGGAAATATTTACAATTTATTGGAGAGATCCAGTCAGGTTATAATGAATGGGAAAAATTGTTCATGGAAGTGTTATTGGAACTCCTTTCCTTCCCAGCACTTGTTACATGTTACTAATCAACATATCTACAAGTCTTATCCAAACTCATGGAATATGATATGCAATCATGGATGTAGTATGCAATTATAATTAGTTATTCAATAAACAGAACATTGGCTCTTTTAATTTTAAAAATCAAACATTCCCAATAAATAGGTTAAATCCCCACACTGCAAAATTGGAATTGGGAAATCCCTTTGTCTCAGCAGGGGAGAAAGAAGTGTGTTTAATCTGTGGATGGGGTCACTTCTGCATTCTACAGGTCTGTTACTAGCTCAGAAGAAAAAAAGTACAGTAGTAGACAGCAAAGAGTATGGAAAAGATAAATTACAGAAAACAGACTACCGAAGGCAGGTCTATCTTTAGACGTTACGTGATAGGATCCTGTAGGTATTTTTTAAAGACAGAGAATATTTTCATGCAACAAAACAAATTGATTTTGGTGAATGAATCTCAAAGCCCAGAAACCAATAATTTGATTTACCATGTAAGCTACAGTCACTCTTGTTAATATATATATAACTCTGATTGCCTGCTAATTGTCCTGAGTGAGTAGTAAGAATCACTTGCTAGCATGTGGCTGGGAGTAGAAAGCACAAAACACTCTTTTCTCATTTTGCGATGAATGAAAATGTGAAAACAAAAATCATTATTTATGTTACTCCCTCAAATCCAGAGGAATCTCCTCTGAGAGCTGGAATCTAGTAACACCTCCTTCTCATCTCAATTTCCTCTTCTTGAAAGTAGTAGCTAAAATATTTATTTCTCTCTCTGATCCTTGCAAAGAAATTGACTCAGGTGTCCAGGAAAAGGTAATAAATAAGTATACATATTGTTAGAACATGAATACTTGATGCCACCTCAAAACACAATTCCAATCTAGTGCACAGGGTGCAACTTTTTAAACATATTCAAACTTAATTTTTATTTATTTTGGGGCAACTTCAGAAGATATTTTCACTTAATGAAAAAAAAGTTTGGATTTTTAAAAATTGGTTTTCAAATTGAAGAAAAAGAGCTCCGTTTCACTTTTATTCCTTATGACATTTTAAGTCAAGAAAATAAGGCAGCACAATAGGATACACATCTAATATAATAAAAGTTATCAGGTTTATATTTTATATAAATGGTAAACAATGAAATATTATAAATGTTTATAAAGTTGGAAACTTACATTTAAAAGAATAACAATCCAAAACAATATAAAAGATCCATAATTCTATGTAACAAAATTTCTACTTATACAGTGTATGGCCATGGATATTGAGTTATATTTGTAAAATAATCAAATGAAAGATTATATATAGCAAACGCTTGAGTTCCAAATAAAAGTGACATGATATTTAATAAGCTCAACTTTAGAAATTAAAGAAAAATTTAGAATGAAACAAGTTACGCTGTGAGCTAGTATTTGGAAGAAACAATCCTGGTTCAGTTTCCTTCTGTGATTTTCTGACAAATACTTTAAAGGTCAACAATTTGGGGAAGGGAAAAAAGGCTAACTATTCATGGGTAAGGATAGGTGCATAATTAGTTGGACCTTAGAAAATATTTCATTATAATTTTAGATTAGCCTTGTAAATTTGCAGGGAATAAAAGGAAATAGATGATTTAGCAACATTAAAACACGCAAGACAAACTTATGGCTATAATGAAAGATAACCCAGCAGCATTCCGCTGCCATGACTGGCTTCCATTTTCACCTTTATTCGCTTCACAGCATTTATCTGCATGATGAAAATTATTTTTGAAAGTAGAACAAGAATAAAATAATTAAGGAATAAAGAATAGAGTTACAAACATGAAAATAAAGGAAAAGAAAAAAGTGACAGTAGGAAAGAAAAAAAGAGAAAATAATTAATACAAGATGTACACAAAGCCATTACTAATTACTTACAAAAAATTATTTTGATACAAGACAAAGAATTTTAAAAATCTAGTATAAGACACTTCTAAATAGTTGTCACATATTAAAAACATAACTCAGTTCTATCATTGATTACTTAAATGTGAACATCTTAAATATTTTTTAATGAAGATACAACTTATTAGAGAAAGGTCACCAGTCATTCCACTGTGCTACTGATAAATTCACACTGTTACTTAAATATGAGCTCATCATATTCTGCAATGTTTGCTGCTAGATTTTTTCTGCTATCGTATTTTCCTATAAAACATATTAATAAAAGTAGTTATAGTTTTAATAATGAATGAAGTACCAAGAAATATAATTGAAAATGATAAGTTCACACAGTGAAAATTTTCAAAAGAATAAAAGCAAGGAACATTAACTCAACTGGCCATAGGTATACTCTAGACATACGTTATCGTTGCTCATTTAAAATAATTTTGAGAAACAACGATCATGAAAATAATTTACAGAAATTTACTTTCGCATTATGTACTAAACCAAATAAATATTGTTTTGCATGTATCATTAGTATTTAGATTTGACTGAGATTTTCAGATAGTTAAAATGAAGTTTTTCCCAATTAACTGAACTTCAATTTCACCATTGTTTTAGAATTTCTTTAATTTAAATTCTAAAACAATCATAACCTTAAGAAAGCATTTTAGTATTTGCCATGCACTTGAATGTTTTGTTTTCCATTCATGTTGAGTTATTTGGAGATGAAAGGGTATACTAGTCTTGCTGGAACTAGACTTGAATGTTATCAAAATAATTTTACTCTACTGTTCATTATAAGTATAATCAAAAAAGTCCATTAAAATAAAAATTAACTGAAAAAATTTAGCAATATATTTATTGGTGGTGATCTATGTCACTTCTTGGTATGGAAGCAATTATTTTCCATCAAATTATATTGAGAATCTATGTTAAAATTAGGCATGTTTTCAATTCATAGTAACAAGGGAAGACAAAGGAAGCAATTTATGAAGGGTTTTGTTTTGTTTTGTTTTTGGTTAAAACAAACAATATTAAACATGTCCTAAAGCCAAAAGAAATGGTGAAACTATTTTTCAGAGTCATTTTATCTCCAAGAATTTTTTAAAGCATTAGATTATACTCATTCTACCAAGTTAGGAATATTTTTAGTCATTAAAATTACAGAACAAATCAATAAATATCATTTTAACAGCCTCTAGTTCCATAGATGGTTTTGTAATCAGTTTTACAAGAATTAATTTGTCATCACTACCCAATATTTTCATTGTTTATAAAATAAAATGAGATGGAATTATGCTGTATGAATATTCCAAAAGAGAACATAACTGTGATTTTGCACACTCTGTTTCTATGTGAATCAAGGAACACCACTTTCAAAATAAACACATTTAATAAGTGAAGAAAGGAAAATATTATTAATCATAAAATAGTTTTCACATCAGAATCATGAACTATGGAGAAATGCGGTATCCACTAAGATACGCACATAGAAAAGCCATTATTATCAATAGAATATATGACATATGAATGTAAGGTAAGCCTATTGTTAAAAAATAGTCCCTCAGTCCAACAAATAAATGTACTCTAGATTTAGCTTGCTGCTTTACTCAAAGAGTTAAATATATCTGAATGCACATAAGTAATGGGTTTTTAAATTCAAAGTCTGTAAACTTTATTTGGACAGTTTACAATGCATGCTATTTAAAACATAAATTAAAATGAAATTAACTTGTAAACTCCATATATTCTCCAAATTAAATAAGGCTTAAGAGTTGCTAGTTTATTATACATAACTTATTTAAAATATGTTTGAATTTATAATGTGTATTTTAAAATGGAATAAGAAATTATATAACTATAAGAGTAATTATGATGAAGGCATATGAAGATTATTTTGCCGATACATAATTTTAACTCTATAGTATTTTGTGGGTTTAAAGGCTCCCAAATTCACTGTCAACTATCGCAGCTTCTAAAATTGTCCCAAGAATCTTCCCAGAGCTAAATCAAACAATTCTTGAACTATAAGGGCACGTCTTTGATCTGGCTTTCCATGAGACCTTAGCAGTCTCTGGATTCAGTCACAGTAAATTAGACATTATTCTGTGACATTTTTATAGATAAAATAAATATTTTATCTTTCCTTTTTCCAGTAAGATGCTCTGGTTTTGTGTCATCTGTACAGTTTAGAGGGGATGAATTCTATCTCCTACCTTTTCAGATAGCTTTGTCTGTACATCTGTATGTCTGACTTTTCCTTGACTGCTTGATCTGTTTCATCAGCTGTGAAACACGTGCTAGCCTTTTTCATCATAAAAGTCCTTCTAACACTGACTATTTTTCCCCCTCTGCTCACTTTCATACAGAGCTTCTTGAAAGCATAAATTAACATGGACTCTAAACCTGCTAACCTCCCATACAATCCTCAGCTCATTCCTACCTAATTTCTCTCCCAAGCACTTCAGCAGAGCTGTATGTAATAAACACATTTCACATCTCTTTCAGTTGAGTTGTTGACCACTCAGCAGCGTCTGAAGGGGCAAATGTGATTGATAAATTTCTTCTGGAAATATGACTGTCTTTTAACTTACAAGATACTACAGTCTTGTGTTTTTCCAGGAACTCTAGTCTCATTGGGGGAGGGAGGGGTTTCCTCATCCTGTATAACATGGTTATACAGGACATGGTTCTTAACACTCTATTCTTCAGTAACTCAAGAAGCACCACTTGAACATTAATGCTGTGCCAGTCACCCTTCTAAGTACTGGTATTGGGTACTGGGAAACATCTATGAGTATCACAGACATCAACTATTTCTCATAGAGCTTAGACATTACTCACTGTGTGGTTTTATCCCCACCCAGGCTTTAAATATCAATTATCTGTTAAGGCTGAAAATATCATAATGTATACTTCCAAGCCATGGCTGTCTTCTCATCTCCATACACACATATCTAACATCTATTTGACATTTCAAACCTAACAAATACCAAACCAATTTATGTTTGACCCTTACTCTCCAAATCCTGCTCTGTTTATAAGATTCTTCATCGTGAGAAAGTCATCAATATCTACTGAATCAATTCTGTTACACAGGCAGGTTAATCTACATCTACAATGTGTCTGGAATTTATGCATTGCTTTCTTTTTCTACTGTTATCACATTTTTTCAAGCATTCATGCTCATCCATCTCTTGCTTCTATCCCGATGAGCAAGATTAATCTGTCTGTAATGTCTATCGATTCATATAATTTCCCTGCTTCAAATGATTTCTTATGACTTTCAGGATCTGTTTTAAAATTATTTACATGGTTTTTAGAAGACCTTGGATTGGTTGGGTCACAGATCTCTCGGTATCCTTACTTTTGTTCACACACCTCCAGGTTCTCTCCCAGCCATCTTTCTCCTGGTTCTTAAAGCAAATCAAATTCCTTCTTCTTTCAGAGACGTCTTCCATATAAGACACTTTCCCTGGAAGTCTTCTTCCTTACAAGTTTCTTTCAGAAAGTCACTTTCCAAGGGAATCCTTTCTCAAGCCTCACCTACCCCTAAAAGTTAGGTATACTTGCCAAAGGCTCTCATGGCAGCACACTGCACCAGCATATCTCTTAGTTGTAATTACTTTGTGGATATTCTAACTCTTGATTAATGTCTATCTTCCCTACTAGATTGTATAGTCTTTCAGTGCAAGAACCAGTTCTGTACTTTTCACAGATAATTTCTCTGCACTCATCACAGTACTTTCCACAAAGCAAGACCCCAGTGAATAACTGAAATGAATGAATGAATAAATCTTAATATTGCAGAACCAGAAGAAAATAGCTTAGGGATTAGGAAATGCAAGAGAAGTTAAATGACAAGAGCAAAGTTGAAACTAGAAACCATTTTCCTTCTAAGCACTGTCCACAAACTAACTTTCCAAAACTGAAACAAAATATTTTTATAGTAAATGCATCATAGCATACTTTAGTTATTTTTGTGCCTATATATATATATATATATATATATTCTTCATATATATGTTCTTCATATATATTCTATCTTTAGTTATCTTTCGGTTTATACTTACTATTGGTTTTATTAACAACAGTTTCTTATAAAAACAGCATAACAGGGACTCTGGGAGTATAATGTAAAGTAACATGCCTGAAATCTATTTTTTTTACAGTTTGCATTTTATCTGTAAAATATAACTAAAATATTGCTTTCCATTTCACAAAATATTCATTTTTATCTTGATAAAAATAATTATTCCCTCCAAGTGTATGAACTAAATTAAAGATGTAGGAGAATGTTGTAAATAGTGCTGCAATGAACATTGTGGTACATGTCTCTTCAGCAACATAGCACAGGAAGATCAGCGCGGTGCTCTGTGACGACCTAGAGGGGTGGGATAGGGAGGGTGGGAGGGAGGCTCAAGAGAGAGGGGATATGGGGATATATGTATGCATATGGTTGATTCACTCTGGTGTACAGAAACTAACACAACGTTGTGAAGCAATTATACTCCAATAAAGATCTATTTTAAAAAAAAAGATGTAGGAGGATGAAGTTTGCTCTTGCAATCCTCCTTTGAAGATTCTGACTCAGATTAAAAATCATATTTATATCATGTTCCTGATATCTGCAGAGAGGATAATTACTACAAACATAATGCGTTATAATTGTAGAAGCATTTATTGATGTTTAAAACTCACAGAAACAATGAACTTAATAGTTCATTCAACCGTTCTTTTTATTAGGTGTATCATCTTGTAAGGACATGGGATTTGTCATACGATTTAAAGTAGCTCTGACCTTGAACAAATACTTTAGCCTCTCAAAACTGTATCTGTAAAATGAGGATAACTCTTTGTTGCTCAACTCAGATTCAAGAATAAAATGAGACAATAAGTGCAGAAGTACTTTGTAAATTATAAAAAGTGCCAGTACAATATGATACCCAGCTATCCATATTATTTCTAGATACTTCCAACTTCCTAATTTCAAATTATAATTGGAAGCACTTATTAATTAATACTAGCAATACAAAGCCATGATATAAATTACTTTTAAACCATAAAACCAATAGTAATTACTTTTTTATAGAAAGATTAATTGTATAAAGTTGCTTTCAATTAAAAGATGATGTATAACAAAGTCATACTAATGAAATTAATATTAATTTGAAATTACAAGAGGATTAAATAGCATGACTGAACTGACAAAATTTTTTCATCTCAAAAATATTATGTAATACTGATACTCTATTATAATATGACTTAAATAAATCATGTTTATGAATATGCAGCTCTGATGTCTCTATATATAAAGAGTATATGTGTATATATACATGTATGTATAAATTTTAAATTTAAAAATTTTAAATATGTAAAGGAATGATGAATGTTAAAATATGACCAATATGACAACTCATTAACAGAGTTAATTGACTATGAATCAGGACAAATTCTTGCATCTTCACCTCTATAGCCTGTATCTGAAAAAATTTTAATATCCCTCCTGTAGACTTTGACAATATCAGTAGCATAAAATAATGTAAGCACTATCCCTAATAAAGGTAGCCACCAGTGCGCTGTGACCACCAATAATGAGTGTCCTACAACTTTTTGAGCTTCTTTGAAACTCTATTCATAGTTCTTTCTGCAGGTGTATCAGTGGTTGTTACTGCCTCATTGTGTGAGAGATTTTATCTTTCCAAACTCAACTTGCTTAGTCAGGCATGAAGGGGCTCATTTTCCCAGAAGTGGAGGACCAGGCCCCATGTGTTTGGCAGAGAAGTTTTCTCCTTTTGCAAAAGTTTTTTCTGGGCTCAACGAATATTTTTCATGTTGATTTTCAACAGTTTCTCTTATCCTCCATCCTCCCCCTCTGCTCATTCTCTCTCTACCACCTCAACCACTAAAGTTGTCAAAGTGCATTTACAAATGAACCAATCTTTTATGGCAAGAGCAACTGAGAAATCTTTATTAAGACATGTAAATAATCATGATTAGAACCTAGAATTTATACTTCCTTTATAAAATTATGTTTTCAATATTAAGAAAAAATCCAGAGGGGTTATAAAAGATACTGTCATAATTATTTTCAGCCTAAGAAAGCATATAGTTTGCTTACCTTTAATAATGTTGGGTTTTGGTGGCATGCTGAACTCATAGACTGTTGGTTCTGAATATCCCAATCTATTGGCAGCTGTAATTTGAACTTCATACCCCATTGTCCACTGTAGATGCTCTAAAATAATGTGGTCTTTATTTCCCTGCACTTTTTTCTCTAGCCACTGGTCTTCTTTATCTTTCTGTAAAGGCAATACAAATATATTTTGTAAATACCCATACACTAAAGTTGTGATCTTTAAAAAAAATAATTTATCTTGAAATGGAGCAAGTGGGTTTATTAAATCGAAAAAAGGCTATTATCTCATCCACTGGGATAAATGAAGTTTTATATAGATGAAGTTATTTCTAAGATTTTTCCACAAAAAATGTAATTGTTTTTAAATTAGCTGGAGTGATAATTCATAATGAATCCTTGATGATTCAAATGATAATTCACCTCCATAAAGATTTTTTAAAATTTCACATATATCAGTTTGCTGTTTAGCCACTTTGTTGATTATTAATAATCATGTGAACAGGGAAAACAAAATATTATATATAAAAAAAGCTTAACATACCCATTAAAATAATTTCCAGAGACTATTGTTTAATGTTTGGGGCAGGGCAGGCAGTGGGTAGTAAAGTGTCTTACAAATAAAGTCTGGATTTTTAAAATAGATTTAAATTTCCATTATCATTTTTTATTACTATGATGTTTTGGACTTATAATGAAGCAACATACAAGAAAAATTATTACCTGTTAAACAAGTTATTAACATAAGAAAATAAAATATGTTACCTTATCCTGAACATTCTATGCTTAAATCCAGTGTCTTTTTCTAAAATAAATGTTTTGGACAACATGCTATTTGAATAACCCCTTTAAAAAACATACTATGACTACAGTTACAAATAATTGAAATAATTTTATGGATTAAACTATCCTAAGCAATGTGAACATTCAGCTGAGCCATATTTTAACCATTTAAAGTTTAAATGGTAACCTCTGCCTGTGTCCCTCATCTCTGTTACAGAAATGAGGGTAGCAGCTGCCTCTGTTAGCTTTCATCAGGAAACAAAGAGGAAAACTGAGTAAATTGTATATTCCAAGGCATTAAGAATCATAACCACTTAACAAATGACAGCTATTATTAAAAAGAAACTATTTCCATAATAACTATACAGAAATGAAATGATATTTTCTCTGAAATCACATATCTAATAATCCATCACTGCCATTGAAAATCTCAATTTCCCAGAGGTGTAATTATAAATAAATTGTAACCTGGAAATAGTGATAGACATATAGATATATAGACAGATCAATAGATCGATTAGTCAATCTTTTTTTAACCTCAGAGCTCAGCCCAGTATTACGTTATGTTGAGCCAATATTTTACAATGTTTATTTGACTAGAAAGAATAATAATGTTTTCCACATTTATAGTGAAAAATGAGGATTTGTTATCTAAAATCAAATTGTGGAAGTTAAATTCATGGTTGCATTAAATTGATGGTACTACAAATATTAAGTATCTTTCAAAAGGATATAAGACCACATTACAGTTCTGGTACCATACTGTGATTCTTTTTTCTGACTTAATTGGTTCCATAGAACTTTTATTACAGAGGAAGTCGGCTGGCCTCTTTTGTTGCTTCATCTAAAACTGGAGATACTACCCCCTCCAAGTGTTTCAGACAAGCACTTAAAATTATCATATAAACAAGAGGCAAATTCCCTTGCTTTCTGAAACTTATAAACTGACTAATTTATTAGACTGGGCTGGTGTCCAGTGTTATGAAGTGTACTGAAAAGCCATTGGAAAACAACAGTTTGGACCAGAAACCTTGTAACTTGTCTAAGTCATTAAATGACTAGTAAAGTTAAGAAAGGAATCTAGGTGTGTTTTTGAATTGCTTAGAATAGCTGTGTCATTAGCCAGGATTGTCCCAACATCCGCTTTCTTCATCAGTTCATTCATCAATTATTCAGTCTTTAGTGGATAGTGAGACTGTTCTAGAACTATGAACACAAAAGTGAATAAAACATGTACAAATCCTTATTTTGGAGTTTACAAACCAACACAGAAGGAAGACATGAGTTCTTTGAAAAACAAGAGGGTGTTTTGGGAGCATATAATAGGGAGAACTAATAGAGTCCAGGAATCAGGAAGGTTTTCTCTGGGGAAGTAATGTCAACTTTGTTGGAAATAAGAAACTCCAGTACCATTTTTCTTTTCATTCATCCTCACCTAGTGAATGAAGATGTGATTCCTTCACAGAAGTTTTGATCCAAAAAAATAGGCAAAATGACTGAAAACCTCAGAAAGATGCACAATCACTGGGAGATGTAAAAACAGACACTGTATGTGTATTGTTTTAAGTACATATAAAAGCACTTCATAGGCATTGACCAAAAGAAATAAAAAGCTTACAAAAATCTCCACTGAAGGGCTTCCCTGGTGGCGCAGTGGTTGAGAGTCTGCCTACCGATGCAGGGGACACGGGTTCGTACCCCGGTCCGGGAAGATCCCATATGCCGCGGAGTGGCTGGGCCCGTGAGCCATGGCCGCTGAGCCTGTGCGTCCGGAGCCTGTGCTCC